CTTTTACTTGGGGTCCCGAGCAGAAGACCTCATTTGAGACTCTTCGCCAATGATTGTGCGAAGCCCCGGTGTTAGCCCTTCCCGAGGGAGTGGAAGACTTTGTGGTTTTCTGTGATGCATCTATATCCGGGATGGGTATGGTGTTGATGCAGAGAGGGCACGTGATAGCATCCGCATCAAGGAAGTTGAAGCCTCATGAGACGAGATATCCCACCCACGATCTGGAGCTGGGGGCGGTGGTGTTCGCCCTCAAGATCTGGCGCCATTATTTGTACGGAGTCCGGTGTACCATATACACGGACCATAAGAGTCTAAAGTACTTGATGGATCAGCCCAACCTAAACATGCGACATAGGAGATGGTTGGATGTAGTGAAGGACTACGACTGCGAGATCTTATATCACCCAAGCAAGGCTAATGTGGTACCTGACGCCTTAAGCCGCAGAGCCGAGAGCGCTCCGATCCGGGATGTATGTATGAGGATGACGGTGATGACTCCAGTCTTAGATACCATCCAAGAGGCTCAGGTAGAGGCTATGAAACCAGAGAACCGCAAGAGAGAGCGTGTGGTTGGGCAGGTTTCCGAGTTTCTGACGAACAGTCGTGGGCTTATAACTTTTCGAGGGCGGATTTGGGTGCCCTTTACGGGCGGAGCTCGGCGTATACTGATGGAGGAGGCGCATAGATCGAGATTCTCTATCCATCCCGGAGATACTAAGATGTATTTGGACCTGAAGAGAGATTACTAGTGGCCCTGTATGAAGCAGGATGTTTCTTGGATAGTTGAGAGGTGCTTGACCTGCCATCGGGTCAAGGCGGAGCACCAACGCCCACATGGTCCATTGCAGCCTCTGGAGATTCCCCAGTGGAAGTGGGAACAGATCTCTATGGACTTTATCACCAAATTGTCGAGGACTGCGCGTGGATTTGACGCGATTTGGGTGATTGTGGATCGACTGACGTAGAGTGCTCACTTCCTTGCTATTAGTGAGAGCTCTTCTACAGAGAGATTGGCTGAGATTTATGTGAGAGAGGTGGTATCTCGGCATGGGGTGCCGATCTCGATAGTGTCAGATCGAGACGTGCGCTTTACTTCTAGATTTTGGACAAAATTTCACGAGGAGTTGGGCACGCCCTGCATTTTAGTACTGCATACCACCCGCAGACGGACGGGCAAAGCGAGCGGACGATTCAGACGCTTGAGGACATGCTGCAGTGCCTGTGTCATGGACTTCGGAGGAAGTTGGGACACATACTTACCCCTGGCTGAGTTTTCCTACAACAACAGCCACCATTCGAGTATTAGTATGCCTCCCTTTGAGCTTTTATATGGGAGGAGGTGTCAGTCTCCTATTTGTTGGGGGGGATGTGGGGCAGAGAGTGATGGGTGGCACTGAGATAGTGCTAAAGACGACTGAGCAGATTCAGCAGGTTAGACAGAGATTACTGACGGCCCATAGTCGCCAGAAAAGTTATGCGGACAGGCGACGATCCGGGTTAGAATTCCAGGTCGGAGATTTCGTGCTCCTGAAGGTATCCCCATGGAAAGGGGTGATCCGATTCAGGAAGCGGGGCAAGCTGGGGCCCCGATACATCGGTCCTTTTCGAGTGACCGCCAGGGTAGGCAGAGTAGCCTACCGGTTGGAGTTACCTGCAGAGTTGAGTCAGATTCATAACACCTTCCACGTGTCCCAGTTGAGGAAGTGTGTAGCTGACGAGACATCAGTGGTGCCATTAGAGGACATTCAGGTGGGTGCGAGCCTGAATTATATTGAGAGACCGATTGCGATTTTGGGGCAGAAGGTGAAGGTTCTGAGGAACAAGGAAGTGCCCATGGTTAAGGTCCAGTGGCAGCATCGGAAGGGGTCCGAGTCGACTTGGGAGCCGGAGTCGGAGATGCGGGAGCAGCATCCAAAGTTATTTGCGGAGCATGACTTCGAGGGCGAAGTCTGATTCTAGTGGGGGAGAATTGTAACAACCCAAGTCCAGGTATACCTTGTAAACCTTGATCTATTGAGCATTTGTCCATTTTGGCCCTTTGTAGAGAAAAGGTGGTAAATGAGTACGTGAGGCGTACTAGAGTGTACGCTCAGCGTACTCATATGCGTGCAATTGACGCGGAGGCCACCTACTACGCTGGGCGTACCGGAGGGTACGCTGGGCGTACTAGGCCCAGAGTAGAACCCTAATTTGGGGTGTGACCCTATATAATGGATATGATGGCCTCATTCCTGGCCACCATTCCTAGACACCAAACCCTCCTAACCCTAAATCTTCATTCTTATAGCTTGTGTGTGCATTTGAGAGCTTGTGAGTATAATCTTGTGTTCTTGAAGTGGAGAAGAAGCTTTGGAGAAGAAGGAGTGAGAGCCCAGGCTTTTGGATCTGAGCTTAGCTGTGTGGAAAGCTTCACTTAGAGGTATAAAGCTTCATGCTTTCTCATTCTTTTGGTTTGTGCATTTATATGGAGTATTTTAGGGTTTTGTCCCAAAATATGGAGACTTTATGAGATAATAAGCTCCAGAGACCTTGATCTATCCCCTTTTAGTGTATTTTGTGGAGTAGAGTCATAAAAATCCAATCTTGGACGTTAGGAGTAAGCCATGCATGAGATATGAGCTTCATGAGGAAAGAGGATGGGTGTTTTGAGTGTTTGTGACCTAATCAGTCATGCAAAGGCCTAAAGTGACTGACTTTATGGATTAAGAGATGTTAGAGAGTCCAGATCTGTGATATGAGTCAATGTCTTAATTGATTAAGACCAAAAATGTGAGGAGAGTGAAACTGGGACGTACGTTGGGCGTAATCCCAGTACGCGCAGCATAGGGGTTGAGCATACCCGATGTCTGCATGGCATCCGAGTACGCCCAGTGTAGAGAGTTGGTACGCGCAGCGTACTCCCTGCCGTTAACTTTCGGTTGACTTTTAGGGTTTGGTCAATTTGTGGACTATAAGGCCATAGAGGGGTAAAATGGTCTTTTTCCCTTCTGTGAGTTTGTAAAAGGGTTAGTTTAGCTTCAGTGAGAGCCTTATTAATTAGGGATTATTATCGTTGTGTTAGGCGGAGGCTAGACCGGTGATTCGAGTTCGAGATTTTCCGAGTTCTACGAGGTGAGTCTTCTCACTATACTTACCTTGAGTGGTATTCTATGTGTGATCGGAGGGTCTTATGTGTATATACTGTGTATTGATATATCATGCTAGTTGTCTTTGTGATATATATGATGTGAATTATATTGAGTTGCCGAGTTGAGGGACCGGAGGGTCCAACTGAGTTGTGGGACCAGAGGGTCCCACTGAGACACATTGACCGGAGGGTCTTATCCGAGTATAACCATGAGAGGCTAATGAGATATGTGTGGTAGTTTGGGGAACTCACTAAGCTTTGTGCTTACCGTGTTATGTATTATGTGTTTCAGGTACTTCTCAGGATCACGGGAAGGCGCCGGTTTGATTGGACACACGTCAGAGATTTGAGTCATGTTTGAGAGGATCCTGGATTTGTTATTTATTCAGTTTTTGGGGATATGTGTTGGATGATTTGATACAATAACACTTTTTGAGATGTTCGAATTGAGAAAATGTGTTTTAAAATTTGAAAATTTTGGTTTGAAAATTTACATTGTTACAATATCCTATGAAAACCACATAAAACCTTTTACAAATACCGATGAACTGAGATCACTTTTCGATCGATGCATCATCACCCTTTGAAACACAAAATCATTTTCAGTTTATCCCTCGAAATCGAAGCAGTAGATGAAAGAAACAGAGGAAATAAAACCACCATTAAATTTTATCATCGTTCATCTTCACAGAAATCAACTTGATAAAAACAATAAAAGGACTCGAAAATAGAACCTAAACCCACTGCCATAGAGTAGATTTAACTAGAAATAGAAATCGATTTATGATAATATGATTATAGGTTCAATCGATTCTTTTAAGGAATTAATTGTAAAATTTCTATGGAAAGCAAACTGACGGTACGTGAATGTGTGACAGGAAGAAGAACATGATGATAAATATGTTGGCATTTTCCGGCAAGAGAGAAGCGTAGAAGAGAGAGTTTTGTTTTCCGACATAACAAGCGGTTGGCGACAACGATGTTGGCCTGCTCGGGCTAACCGGAGACACACACAACGGACTGGTGAAGAAGTAGACCTGGAGGGAGAGAAGAGGCTACAATCTAGCGGTCTCTATCGGTGAGCTGTTGTCAGAGGTTGGAGATTTGGAAACCAGATCTAGTGTTCCAGTGAAACAAGATCAGGAAACGAGATCTTATGGCCGGTTAAATGAGATCTGGTGACGGTTCAGGAAGAAGAGAGACGGAGGTGGTGGTTTCAGACGGTGGGAGGCAGAGGGAAGTGACAAACAAGTTGAATCGGGGAGAGTGAAGAGGCAACCTTTCGGTGATTCTGGCGACGTTAGGATGGTTCCGGCATTGTTACGGTGGTTCCGATAGTGGTTCGATGATGGTGATGACACATATTACCTTTAAGATGACAGATATGTAGAGAGAGATATGTAGAGAGATAGAGAGAGAGAGAGATTAAAAGTGAAAAAAATAAGGTTCTTATTATTTTTTATTAAAAATAAAATAATTTTTTTACAAAATTTTTAAAATTTCAATATCTAAAAATTAGTAATCCTTATTTGTTTTCGATGCTCACAAAATAAAAAATATTCTCCATTGAACATGCACTTTTCTCTCTCTCTATATATATATATATATATATATATAGATATATATATATATATATATATATATATATATATATATATAATTCTATTACATATATAAATGACAAACTAATTAAAAGTCCAACCTATCCATAACCATCAATCAACATTTTCATATATATATATATATATATATATATATATATATATATATTGGGGGTTAGGGGGCCATCTCCCATGTGGCTGTCGTCAGAACAATAAGTCAACTCCATCTTTCTAGAATAAATATGTAAGAAAAGTTGGAAAGGATGATTTGCAGAAGGAAAAGAAAAGATAGAAAGATGGCAAGTTCATGCTCTAATCAATATGTCAGAGAGGAGGTTGGAGAAGAATACCCATACCCATACCCATCACATGTTTGTGCACCCAATTTTGTTACCTTCAAGCTGAGTGGTAGGGATGATTATGATTTGTGGAAGACGCAGATGCTATGTCTCTTAAAGAGTCATGATATGTGTGGTTTCATCGATGGAATATTTGTAAGCCCTCAATCCAGTAGTAGTGTTTCCGGGAAGGAGAAACTAGGTGGCGATCACAATCACTGGCTGTGGACAAGATCAGATGCCTTGGTTAAAGGTTGGATTCTTGGTTCTCTCTCTAAACAAACACTCAGGCATGTATTGGATCGTCTTTCAGAAAAACCCCATCAAGAGAGAAATGTAGCTGATTTCAATGCAAAAGATATATGGGATGAACTTAAGACTCTGTATGATCTTTCAGTTCGCCCACAACTACAGAGTATGAATGGTCCTGCAGTGCTTCCACAAGAGCCGGATGAAGGTACAATATCTTCTTTACTGATTTATCGTCCTTTGACTGGATGAATTTTTTTGGAAACCGCAAACTTTACTAAAATACTACACAAGGAGTTTACATACAGCTAAAAGGAGAACATCCCAAAGCACCCCAGTTACAATTTACAAATTTACCCCTGTGTCCCAAATACTAGTGAAATTGCCGTTTTTTGTCGGAGAGGATTTGACTAGGTGATTAATTTAGATAAATTTATAATCAGACAAAAATTTCAGTCAGCCAAACACTTGTTTACACAAAGAAGGTAATAATAGAGAGAAAGTGAAGTCTCTTTGATTATGTGTACAACGTTTCCAAAAGCTGTTCCTCAAGCTACAAACAGCATATGATATGGTTCCTATTAATTAGAGTACTGGACATATATTCTCTGTCTTGTAGTTTTCTATACCCTGATAACAAAACCATGCAAATTTAGGTAAACAACGAGACAAACGAGCAGATGATCACAAAAGATTGTACAAGTGTATTCTATCAGGAGATTGGGAGCGTGTTGCTACATTTTTGAACGAAGAAGTAGTTACAGTGATAGACAAAATCACCAATAATGGAAGCACAGCACTTCATGTAGCAGTTGGGACTTCCAAGGACCTGGAATTCATACAGAAAATGTTGGAAAGGGCACCAGAGAGCACACTACTATTGGATGTGCTGAATTCAGATGGAAGCACGCTGCTTCATGTTGCTGCTATCGTTGGCAACACCGAAGCTGCTGAGATGCTGTTGGAAAGAAGCCCAGATTTGTTGTTTGCCAAGGACTACGAGGGTCACACACCACTAGCCATAGCTCTTTCTAATATGCATAGCCAGACGTCTCAGCTTCTGTTGCAGCACATCACTTCTAACAGGGAGGGGAATTCTATGCTTTCGGGCAGAAGTGGTGATGAGCTTCTAGTTCTGGTCATTTCTTCTAAAGATTTTGGTAAAGTGTCTATCGGATTCTAATTAGTTCCACTATTAAAAAAATAATCACGTAATTGATATCTTTATCTACGGAATACATGTAGACTTGGCATACCATTTGGCGAGGCATTACAGAACATTACATAGTGACGCTGTGCTAATGGCTCTAGCTCAAAATTACCCATGCGAACCCAATATATTGGAAAAATATTTAGGTTTGCTGATTTTTATCTTGCGCTGCATGTTTCTTTACCTTTTCAATTTATCATAAGGCCTCTCTAACGTACTCTTATTGTACTCCATATTTCGTATGTTGAAGGGACTGAGATAATAAAATGGAAAATAGCCGGTGGTCTGGAAACCGCTTTTGATTATATGGGCCCGTTACGTGGTTTCGGGGTGGAAAAAGCAATAAGGTTGTTCATTGCCGGTAGGTCATGTGTTGATATATTGTTCGATTATTCTTCGTGTATTCGCATGTTTTAGCAACTTTTAACTTCTTGGTTGCAGAATCTATAAACTCATAATTCTAACAATTTTTTATATCGCATAATGCAGGGATTTTAATGATTTTTATGCTTGTCGTGGTAATCCCTTGGATGTTAGGTAAGATGAATTAACAATTACCATCATTGTATAAGCATAATTATTAGAGAGAAAAAGGTCTATTTCTTTGTTTGACATGCTGATTTGGGTCTATGTTGCAGTGTGGCCATTTATTAAGGAGAAAGTTCGAATTCATAATGAAGCCACCCGATTATTAAGGAGGGTATGTGTTTTAATACATGTATCGAGTGACCCCAACACGGAACATCACTATTACACAAATCCGCTTTTTGAAGCCACGAGACAAAACGCATATGAAATTGTAGGAAAAATTGTGTCTAGATTCCCAAATGCAATTTGGAGTGCCAATAAAGATGGTTATAACATTATTCAATATGCCGTGATAAGTCGTTCAGAAAAGGTCTACAACCTCCTATATCAGATGAGTGAACATAAGAATGTTTACAGAACAATGAGAGACTCTTCTGGCAACAACCTTTTGCATTTGGCTGCAAGATTAGCACCTACAAACAAACTGAATCTTATATCAGGGGCGGCTTTACAAATTCAACGTGAACTACAGTGGTTCAAGGTACGAATCTTTGATGATTAAAATTTTTTAATCTAATTCCACATACATGATGTTTTAAGACCAAATATATATTATTCATCAAGCATGTTTAACGTATTGTAATTGTGTAGGAAGTTGAAGGATTTGTATGTCCTTTAAACACCACACAAAAGAACTCTTTTGATGAAACACCACAAATGGTATTTACAAGAGAGCACAAGGAGTTAGTGATTGAGGGAGAAAAATGGATGAAGGCCACCGCCGAGTCGTACACAATTTCTGCAGCATTAATCACCACCATTGTGTTTGCAGCGGCTATTACAGTGCCAGGAGGAAACAATCAGGACAAAGGGACACCAATTTTTACCAACAACACCGCCTTCACAGTATTTGCAATATCAGATGCCGTATCATTATTCGCAGCTGTTACATCATTGTTAATGTTTTTGTCGATTCTGACTGCACGTTTTGCTGAGCAGGACTTTCTCTTCAAGTTGCCCACAAAGTTAGTAATTGGTTTGGCCACCTTGTTCATCTCAACGACAACCATGATAATAGCTTTTGGGGCAACTTTGTACCTTGTGTTTGGCCAAAACAACTCAAGGATTCTTATTCCAATAGTTGTGTTGACATGCCTACCAACTACTTCTTTTATGACGCTGCAGTTCCCCTTGATCATAGAGTTGATGAGTGCAACATATGGTCGTAGTATTTTTGGTAAGAAGGATCCGGCATATGGTTATGACGAGTTTGGCTTGATAATAGATCATCGCTTCTATTAGTTCTTTCCACACGATTATAGTACGATGGATTGAATAGAAGTAGAATTTACTTAAAATTCATTTTGAATTAAATGTGTCTAAGGTTGGTCTCTACTTTGTAATATAATAGTTATTTGAGGTATTAAAAGTAGAGTTTGTTCTGAATGTTTTGAATTGTATATCCATTCCTATAATTCAAATAAAAATAAAACTTAACAAAATAGAACTATCAACTTTAATGATATTTAGTTTACGGTTTTGCGAAAGCACATTTGCTTTCCATAGAATCAGTATCCGATTTTATTGTAGGCCTTATAATCCCATTATGACACAATCCAAATCGAAAAGTACTCAAATCCTTATATTATGAACCGGGATCCCTTTCTTCTTGGACGTGGAATACTATCTTTTTTTTTTGAACAACCACATTATATAAAAAAAGACTAGCAAACAGCTAGAGAAAGAAACAATTACAAAGAGTCATAAAGAATAGGGTTTTGCAACCACTGGATCCAAGAAATATTACTTTTACTACATCTATTCGAATACCAATTGAAAGAGTGAATGACGATACTTTCAAAAATATGATTTTTCCTCATGATGTGCGTCTGGAACACCACACTATTTTTGTAAAACCAAATAACCCAAATCGTGGTGATAATAATTACTTCAACAACTATTCGTTTCATATGATGTAACACCCATAAAATTTGAGCCAAATTAAAACATTTTATCTCATTCAAAAACCATTAGGTTCATACATCTTGTTTTCAAAATAGTTTAAACATCAGAGTATCCCCCAGAACCATATCACATAAATCATAAAACATGAGGAGTGGTACGATCACGCCTTCGCCTTGCCACGGTCTTCAGAAGTACCTGAAACAATACACTGAACTGTAAGCCCGAAAGCTTAGTGAGTTACCCCCAAAATACCAACCGCACATAAACATACTCATAACATATCACAAATAGAACAACCATGCACATCGGGTCTACTGTGTGACTGGTCCGCCGGCACCGGGCCTTCAGTCCCCCTGGTTCACCCTCCGAGTCTAGCCATGTACATCGAGTCTACAGTGTGATTGGTCCGCCCGCACCGGGCCTTCAATCCACCTGGTCCACTCTCCGAGCCTCGGCACGTCTGGTCTGCCCTCTTGGGGCCCTCAGCCTATCTGAACCGCTCGCTGGGCCTTCGGAATATCCGGTCCGCCCTGGGTATGTTGGCCTACAGCACAAAGCAGGACCCGCCTCAACCCAACCCCCCCCCCCCGGTCAAACAACCATGTGCACATACAACAATTAATCACATAACAAATCCTTAACCAGACAACAGTCAAACAGATCACATAGCATATCAATATCCTAACCAGGATTCCGACCTAACCGGTCACTAGCATAACATTACCCTATATATCGGGTATCGACCTTAACCAGGTCACTAACATAGCATTACCCTAAATACCGGGTACCGACCTTAACCAGGTCACTAACATAACACCATCCTAAATACCAGGATGCAGATCTAGCAGAGCGATAACATAACAAACAATACCCGGATTTCCATCCGATAAAGGGCCAGCCTTGGTGTCGTAGACCCTGTCGATATAGTGAGGATAACTCACCTGCAATTGCCGACTGAAGAGATGAGACCAAGCTGCTCCGACCACCGACACGAACTCCACCACGGAACACTATCAAAGAACCAATTCCATAAATGCCAAAATTACCAAAATACCCTTGGAAATCAAACTGGTCAACTCTTGGTCAAAGTCAAAGTCCTCAGTCAAAGTCAACCTTCCTGGTTGACTCTACTCGTCGAGTCAGCCCATCGACTCGTCGAGTTCCTATACTCAGGAAACTCCCACAACACGACTCAACTCGCCGAGTCACCCCAAGACTCGTCGAGTTCAACGATCTCGGAATTCCATCCTGTCCAACTCACTGAGTCGCCAACCGACTCACTAAACCAAAGCTTTAACCAAAAGAGGTTGGGTTCTGCGACCAGACTCGCCGAGTCCAAGAACAGACTCGCCGAGTCCAAGGCAATCTTCAACAGAATCGCTGAGTTGTTCTTCCAACTCGCCGAGTCCATGCACATGTTCATACAACTCGTCGAGTACACCCATGTGACTCGCCAAGTCTCTTCAGTTCTCAATCCATACAGAGGCTTTTCGAGTCATGCAGGGGCTCCAATCCATAGATCCACTCTTCTACAGCCTAACCCTCACATAAAGTTGCAAACTTTACGTGAAACCGAGGAGATATAGGCCCAAAACACACTAGGGCTTGGGTTTTAGACAAAGGGGCTTCACCAACAACTCAATGACTGAAACTTTATGACATTATGGACCATCACAAGCCTGGATCTGAAGTAGCAACCTCAGATCTAAGCCTCTAACTCGAAATAGCTCTTAATCATACCAAAAATGCCCCAAATCTCACATGATAATAGATCTAGATGCAAAAGAGCCCAAGCAACAGATTATTACCTCCAATATAAGCTCCAACTGAAGTAGATCCCAGATCTACACCCCTCCTTTGCAGCAAACCTCTTGATCTTCAAGCCCCTTTCCACCAAAATCACTTATCAAGGCTCCAAATTGGTTCCAAGGGTTCTCACTCACGATTTAGGGTTTCTGGATCTCAAAAGGGTAGCAAAGAGGCTGAGGGTGGGTTATAATGTGCTTTATATAGGGCACAACCCCCGGGATTAGGGTTTTCTCTCTTCAGCACCAACTCGTAGAGTCCAAGCCGCCGACTAGGCGAGTTGGCCACTTAAACCGCGACAAAATCCCGCTCCGACTCGGCGAGTAAGCGGACCTACTCGTCGAGTCCCTTTCCTAAATTTACACTTTTGGCCTTTCATTGAACATTAGAAATTTGGGGTCTTACAACTCTCCCCCACTTAAATTAGGCTTCGTCCTCGAAGCCTACTGCAGTATACGCCTCAGAACAAACCCTTTGCACTGCAGACTCCGACTTCTCAATCAACTCATGCTCTTACAAACCCTACTTCTGCATCTCTCTTAAAATGGCTTATTCTCACGTGGCATCCTTGCCACTATTCCAAGCCGATCATCGGCCTTTCAACTCAATAACACCACGAATTAACCACGAATCACCCGATAATACTAACCCTTCATATCTGGAACACACCTTCATGCCCTGCGAACGCTAGATACCACAAACACCCACTGAGCTCTGCCAAGACACTAATCCATCTTCCTTCACGCAAAATTGGCGATAACCCTGATAACATGCAACCTGGAACGAATCCTGTTCCGCCCTCTGGTTCTATCCCTTACGCGCTGACAGGATACTACATCCCTCAGCTCCCATAACCCATCAACCAAACATAACGCGTAACTACTCGTACCTGGCCCAATCAGCCTTGGGCTGGAATACCAAACACACCAGGTCCAATCAATCATAGGGTCCGATAATGCTCATGATGGAATACCCCAGATTGGAATACCTTCACATAAATAAATCAAGCCTACAACCATACTCGGAACTAAGGACCTTGTCCTTGCGTCACCCTCGAACCCTTCGGTTCGACACAACGGAGTGCAACCCACTCACACCTCCCTATCACGATCTCTAGGTCATTGACCCCCGACTGTAATATGCTTATACATTCGTCAGCACCGGTCTAGACTACTCCCGAGTCTGTTAACCTGTTGTCTCACCTTCCTCTGTCCCAATCTCCAATCTAGAACCACTATCCTCCTCCTATACCAAGGAGACTGAAAACATGCCTGCGCATCATCCAACGTTGCCACAACCTCAACGGGCATCCAACCCGTATGTGCTTCTATATATCTGGTACAATCCCAGTGCTTACTACCAATAACTGAAGCACTTTCGATCATTCATTTACTCTGATGCCTTCCTTTCAGAGGACCCACACTCCTTCCGGAGCTACATACCTTTCCTTTCCAGGAAGTCTACTCAACAACCCTTACCGCACCTATAAGTGCCACTGACCTAAAACTCCACTCTACACTATCCATGTAGAGCAACTGCTATTCTCGAACTCCCATAACTCCGAATCCGAACACATAGCTAACTAGGCCCACACACGGCCTCCCGCCAACTCCATCATCATGATCAATACTTGGGGCCAGACCATAACGATTACCATTTTATGGCGACATATTCCCTCATTCTCCTCATACCGATCCACTAACGCATACAGAGTCTTCAGCATGACTGGACTACCTTACCAGGCCTTCAGTCTATCTGGACCACTCTCAGAACCTTCAGCATGTCTGGACCACCCTCCTGGGCCTTCAGCCTGTCTGGACCGTTCCCCGAGCCTTCGGTCTGACTGGTACGCCTTCCGGCCTTCAGTCTATCCGGACCGCTCAAAACTGTCGTACGTCACCCTGAACCATCCTTTCCGGGAATCTCTCCCATGCAGTCTGTCTTGGATTAATGTCTAAGTCCATAACTGTAATTGGTAAGACTTGACCCGACCCGGCATGGTCCATTTGGGTTGCATGGCATCATGCATTTGGATAGACTATAATGAGAGAAATAACACTTAAGGTTGGTTAATATATTATAAGTTCTAATATATTAATAAGATTATTTAATTAGTATTGATCAAGAATTAATCTAGTATTAATTAAGTGACCAAAAGAAGACTAATTAAATATATGGGTTGATTGTGTAATCATCCATACTTATATAGTGGGCTAATGCTCCATGGATTGTCAAGTTGGGCTAAAACCCATAAGATGCTCCATGGATGCTCTATGGTGTATTTGTATCCATGGATCATGGAAATGAAAGGCCATGACAATTAGGTTTTACATGGTGTAACCCTAACTATATAATGATCTTATTCTTGGAGAAAATCGGCGACTATGTGTGAGAAAAAAAGGGCTACCCGATTTCATGAAGTGTGTATGTTCTCTCAAGTTATTCCAAGTGTATTTGGTGTTGTGTGAACCATTTGAGGTGTCACACTTGGGGCACTAGGCACTCAAGCTTCATGAAGACATTCTACATCAACGAGGTATGTAATTCTAACTTGATATATTCATATGAATCAATGTTATTATGCTAGTTAGGATGAATACCTTGGAAAGTTCATATTTGCATGTATATTAGAGAAAACATAGATCCAAGG